TAAAGCGTAAAACCATACACATATATCCATCGGTGCAAATAGAAGCGTAATGTTTCTGTGTTCGTGTACGCACTTGCACACCGTCTACATTTCAAACGCATTCAGTAGATTATAGTCCCTCACACTGAAGACACGCAGAATGTGGCGGGTGCCGAGCGCCCAACATCGCTCAGCAGCCAATAAGATTGAGGTATTGGCCTATGAGAGCGCCGAAGAACAAGTCACGAGAAAGAAGCGTGAACGCACGAAGATACCCTGCATTTATTAGCATGACAGTGGCGATCGCTACGCGGTGCCACGACACATCGCATGACGGCCATCGTCGTTAAAACATGGGACCCTCAAAGTGGCGAAATCGCTGCAACATGATGCTTCTTCAATTCATCTCAAGGTTGTGTTGCGTGATCGAGAAAAAAACGTATACGTCTCTGAAAATTACTAATTAGATTGTTGTTTTGTTATTTTCCTTCTGCAGAAGGTTTCAGCAATTCTGCAAATGGTGCTCAGTATCAGCATTGGTCGTTTGCATGCACTATAAAAATTGCCGCGCTTCAACTTCTCCCCAGAGGGCTTGAACAGCAAATTACTTCCGTTTACGGAGGAAATTAGACGAATGACGGGGCGGATTATTTGTTTAGATTTTAAAAACCAAGTCCGCGTTTTCATAAGGAGAATTAGAGAGGCCGTAAACTGTCTTTAGAGTTCTAGGTTGGAAGGTCGAACCAAGGGTCTAGAAAGTTTCGAAATGTCGAACGTTTTGAATTCAATAAAAAAATCATAATTTTGCATACTATAATTTGTTTTCGCTAAGAAAGTTGGATTATTATTTTAAACCGTCGCATTCGGTACGCTTAGAACTTTTACAATGTTCGAACTTTCGAACTTATCACGCTAGGAAATTTGACTACCTTTGAAATTTCGGACCTGCTAAGATCATAAGTCCAACGTACTTCGAACCTCTGAATTCAAGTTCGTCAATGATCGAACCGATTTTAGGCCCCAGAAGGTTTGAGGCAATAAGTATAAATACCACAAGATATACTTGTGGGGAGCAGAGTGGAAATTTCACTGGAGTTTCACTTAGACGCCGATTGCGCCACCAACGACTCGCTTTTAAAGCGCTGAATGATCGCTTTGGGTGTGCCCTCGTCGCCTCGGCCTCGGCCCTCCTATCCGAGAGGCTTGCTCCGGCTTCCGAACGGGCCCTCTTTCGCGTACAACACCGCAGGTTTGCTCCAAGCTAACCTGCGGGCCAGCGGCTTCCAGGTCTGCAGGTTTGAAATTCAACCGGGGCGCTTTTCTGGGGAGTCGTTCATAACCTGTGTTGGTTCTGAACGTAAGTCCAACTATTTCCTGGAGTAAGTTGCTGGTCTGAAATAAGCGTGCAAAGATGGCGACACCAGCGCACGACAGCAAACGCTGAATCGGCCCTTGCCCCATTATCATTAGTAATCGGCTGAATCTTAGAGTGGCCAGTATATACATTCATCGACGAAGATAACTTCCAGACACCGGCAATATGGTGATCCCGATGACGACTGGGCGTGACGTATTCAGCTAAATTTTTGGGGGCAGGGGGAAGGGGGCAGTTTAGTTTGAAATGGTTGCATTATCTTCATCCTTGAGCTGTGTAATGTGCTATGCCTCGGTCATATGTGTCCGTGTCCAGGGTTTATTTATTTCATTATTATCCCACGGGTCATCCCGTGGGATAACGGCAATTTTTAAAGAATGCTAAATGCCTTTATAGGCATGTGTCGTCTTGCATATTTTGCTGTTTTATGGCAGCATACTGTTAAGCAGCTTTTGATCGGATGCTACTAGTTTGCTGAAAGTTATGAAGAAAGCTTATCTGACCGACTCGGGCTTTTTGATGAACCATTCAGCAGTTCAAGGCTTGTCTCATGAATTTCAATAAATAAAGAGTGGTACAGTAGTACCGTAAGTGCCGCAGTGCGGAGAAGGGAATATTTGCGACAGAAAAAAATTAATGTGTAACGCTTTCACTGAAGTTTGTAGCACGCGTTGCACTTGTTTAAATGAATCCGCGCAAGGTGTATTCGAAACTGTAAAATTCGATCTCCGTCCATGCGCTTCGAAAATTTCGAACTTAAATCCCAAATCTTCGAATTTTTTCAAATTGTACATTACAGCATTCAAAGTCTTCGACTTTCTAAAATTTCAATTTGATTGAAGTTTCAACTTCCTTAGTGTTTTAGCTTGCTCTGTCAAGAAATTCGAATTCTTTGAACCCTGAATTTCACAAACGTTGTCGTTTTCAAACTTCTTGAATTGGAACCTCGGATTTCGTCTGTAAAATTTTAAACCTCGGTCCAAGGTTCAAAATTTTCAGACCCTATTGAATCCTAACCTTGGGAGGTTCATGGCATATATACGGAGCATGACATTTCGCATGGTTATGTCATGCACGATGTCAGTTCGCCGACCATATTTGTACAGGGTGCGGCCCGTAAGGACCAGTTCATTTGGTACACCTTGCAAAAATCGAATTCCGAACGTACGTGACTGAAACGTTGTTTTGTAAAAAAAAAGATTTCTGAAGCTCAAATCAGAGCTAACAAAACGACAAAAAAAAAGATACAAGACGACGGCTGTGAATTTTTTGCATCCTATACCGGCCTGCTCTTCGTTTGCATACTGCTGTGCGAGCTCGATCCTAGATGGCGCGATGAACGCAAAAACGCTGAGAACGTCATAAAAAAGGCTGACGATGAGCAGGATAACTGCGATAAACATTGATTTTAACAAAAGATATAGCCGATGATGCAGTTTCAGTTTGAATTTAGGAAAAAAATTAACCATTCTCTTTGATAGCAAAAATAATTCATAAGTAGACGAATGTTTGATCTATTTTGTCGTCTGCTATCTATTCGCACATCTCTGCTCATGAAGGTAGGAACCTTATGGAGGCGACATCACGCCACAAGAGATAAAGCCGGAAGAGACTTTCGGTTCGGAGGGACACGCTCCCAACAATGACCAAAAAAAGAACAAAACCAAAAGATTCTATTGGACGGATTTGGACACCCATGGGCGCTATTGGACGGACTTGGGCACCCTTGGGGACGTTCCCACCGACCGCGACCTCTACTTCCGGATTCCCTTGGGACTTTCTTTTTTGTCGGACATGAGCCTGTATGTTGCCTCAACTTCTTTCTACTTCAATGTCCCCACTAGACGCGAAAGGCTCGCAGGGTGGAGCGAACGAAGAACAGACGACAAAATAAGACAAACATTCGTCTGCTTTTAATTTGATTTTATCTAACATGGAAGTCCTCCTGTTTCTAAATACGAACTGAAACCACAGCATCGTTCATATATTTCGTTAGAATCATTATTCATCGAGTGTACCCCGCTCGTCTCAAGCCTTTCCTATCACGTTCTCAGCGTTTGTTGCGTTGGCAATGGCACCTGGAAGCTACCATGCAAACCAGTATGCAGGCGAAAAACAGGCCGGTGTTGCACATACAAACTTTTTGCGAGATGATGTTCGCGTGCCCAGTTTAAAGAATGTACGGTTGGAACAAATATTTTGCTATGCGTGCACGGTGCAAAAGCGTGTAGATATATTTCATTTCTTGTCGCTCACCAAGCTTCCTTTGTAGATCGCGCTTATTAGCTGACCGGGTACTCTGCACCAAAGTACGTGCACGTGCATTTCAATGTGCATAAGTCATATGAAGAATTATTTTACCACGCAGAATAACCCGTAAGTTATACGGATTTTATTCGTACTAAAATATGTGTTTTCGTGTTCTATCACACGAATTGCGGGTATTTTATTAACACATATTATTAAAACACCCTTCCATCTCTCCCGTAAAAACCTATCCCTATTGGAAAGACTAGTTTGAAAATCTAACTGGTATGACTGGTATTTGGACTGGTGAAACTGGCATTTGGACTGGTGATACTGGTCTGACAGGAAATCAAACTCGTTTAACTTGTAGCCAGAGTGGTCTAACTGGTAACCATATTGATCTAACTGGTCACCAGATTGACTTATAACTGGTCACTAGATTGGCCTTACCGGTCACCATATTGGCCTAACTGGTCACCAGATTGGGCGAACTGGTCACCAGATTGGACAAACTGGTCACCAGATTGGCCGAACTGGTCAGCGGATTGGCCGAACTGGTCACCAGACGCCGAACCGGACACCGGACTGGCCAAACTGGTTGAACTGGTTACCAGTTTGACCCCTCTTTCTCCTTTTATTTATTGGCTTTCTCACTTTGATTTATTGGCTTTCAAATGATTACGGCATGATCGTGCGTTTACTTTTTACTAAGTGATTAATCCCCTGGGATGTCTAAAATACTCTCAGAGGTATGACATTGCTGGAAAAAGTCAACATGCTGGGAATATTTTTTATTTCTTAGGCGGTCACCGAGAAATTCCGTACGTTCAAAGCGACCAGTATAAAAGACGGAAACGCAGAGCTCGGTAGTAGCGATCACGTTAATGTGCTGTTGTACTTATGCTTATATGTGCCGTGCACTTGTATGCGCTCAATATATGTTCAGCTGATGCTTGTAGTACGCGTATTGTGTCTACATTTGTGTATAATAAAGATTTCCAAAGCGCAGTGGTGGTGTCAACAAATGAAAATATTTTTTGTCGAACCAGTGTGACCAGTTCAACCACCATGACCAGCTAAACCATCACGACCAGACAACCAGTATGACCAGTTCAACCGCCATGACCAGTCAACCAGTGTGACCAGTTAGAACCACCTTGACCAGTTCCACAATTGTGAAACAGGTCAACCTGGAGCAATAACCAAGTTTGAAACTGGTACCAGTTTGAACTGGTCTTTCCAATAGGAATGCCACTCGATTTTGTGCATAACACATAACCAATCTTTTTTGTATCACGTGGCCACTCGAAATTTCAGGTGCGCGCAACCTGTACTTCCAAGTTGGTAGGTTTAATGCTGAATTAATGGTGATTTGATTATAAGAAAGTGTGGAGACTTACTAACTCTCCGTGTTGCTGCACCGCAGTTTCCGCATACCGGCACCTCCAAAGGACGCAGGTTTCCCGCGCTGTGCTGCGAAAGATCCGGGTTGAGATTTTGCGAACCTCCTCAATAGAGCGATAAAAGTATTATGGACAAAAAAGGCTAACAACAAAGATGCAGAAAAAAAAAACGGGTTCTATCATTCTCAGGCACGTCCTACAAGCAAATTAAACAAACAAATGAAGCTGGGTATATGCGAGATATTGCATCATGGTTCGCTAAGGTATACGTGAATATATGTATAAGTTTATGCTTAATGCATAACAATCCACATGAAGTTCTCACCACTATTTTTTTAGCGCCAAAAGGCAACTCAAATAGTGCGCTTGCGCGCGTCTGTCAGTTCGGTAAAAGATTGTGTGTTCTACGAACGCACATCTTTACTTTTTTTTACCCTTCGCTCTGATAAACATTTTCTTGGAGGTATTCTATATTTCAGCCTCGATTTTTAGCACCCATAGTGTAACTCTCCCATACTATGTCAATTTTTTATTATGAAATGAGATGAATGATGCTCTTCGAACAACCGAATTTTAGTAAACATGCACTATAACTTGATTGACTTGAACTGTATTTGGAGAAGTAATCACAATGCTTTGTGGAATATATTATCAAATTAAGTTGAATTTCGTGTGATACTGAATATGAAGCTATTATGCATCAGGGCCAATTTTAGACATGGCAGTTTGCAAAAATACTAGGTACGTTTCTCCGATTGGCAGTGACTCTCCACTTCACGCCAGTATGGTGTGAAGTGGAGAGTCATTAACTTAACTTTCGGTCGACATTCTCTTGCAGGCTTTATTAACTTAAGATGTTTGTTAATTTCAAGACACTTTTTCTCAATTTTTGTTCAAAGCCTCAGTAAATATTAGGTACGTGTGCATGTCTCATTTTTATTTGTATAGTAAATTTACCAGAGTTAGGTGGACATAAGGCTCTTTTGCAAAATATGACACGCAGTACAACTAATCGAATCAAATACCAAAAAGTATTCGATGGGACCCCAATTGGAATGGACTTGGTGGATGCTTCCTAATTAAAAAAATACAGCTCTTTTGAGAGTAAATGTAAACGAGCACAATTTTCAGTGACATTTCAGAAGTGAGCGAGTGCGTGGGCACAGCTTCAGTCGTCGTTCAAGCACGCGCTCCCGTACCCCTTAGGTTGTATTCCCACATAAAGTTGTACCCGACTATAACATACTCTCGCATGTCTTTACTAAGTTGACAACAATTTCCTTCCAGAATACTTTGAGTACATATATACTGACTAAAGATGCCAGCTTTTAAGCGATACAGAAGTTCGTTTATTGGTAAAATTGATTTATAGTGCACCCTGTTGAAAACAACAGTTATGTTCTTCTCAAGTTCGTGAGTTCAACTGCACTGTCTCTAGAAAGTCAATTCGCTTAATTTTTGTATATTTTTGTTTTAAAGAGAAAAATATTCACTTTATATATGCTTCTTACTTTCTCGCCCTATTTCTGAATATATAGTGACCTAGAGCTTAGTGCAGTACATGGCCACTCCCGATCACACTCTTTTCGCTCCATGCCCAATGAGGCTGCATCATGAGACGATAAGAACGCCGAACAACAAATCTTGCAGTGAACAGCACGATAAGCCACTCATTACGTTTTTTAAGCTCTCAGTGCCTTGAGATCCATATTCCATGCATCATTGTCAAGACATGAACACCACAATACAGCTCTGAATTATAGCAATACACGTTGTCTTGTTAGGCTAGCTGCAAAACATTTTACTCGTTTTTGTGTGTGTGGTGTGCCTACTTCATAAATATAACGCCGTATTAAACCCTCATTCAGAATTAATCGTAATAATTTTGCACGAATGTATATTATCATGTGCTGCTTTTCACTTGCTTAAAACATCAGAGTGAATGATGGAGGCTTTAGAATTCTGCAGTAAGATTTATGGTCAGAGGTGTTCTATATTCATGACCCTAGTTAACAACTAGTATATTTTGAACATGATTGTAAACCTGAGACTGGGGCCCAGTCTCAGGTTTACAATCATGTTCAACTTACACCAGCTCGCCTGCACTCTGACTATTTTTTAGGATATTTTTATTTATTTTAATACACTCCAAGCCCACGGGAGCATTAAGCTGAGAAAAAGGCAAAAAAGTAAATAAATAAGTCTAGCACAAAAAATGCAGCCAAGCATAAGTTTAAGGAGTGAAAACAATATTTTGTTTCGCAATTTGAAGTAATTTTGCTTTTCCTGAGTTTTTACTGGCTTGTGGTAGCGTATTAAAGGTTATTGAAGAAACTGCGCCCAGGCAGATCAAGAAATGCATCTGTAATGCGCTCTCGCACGTTGAAAAATAGACTACTGTTTGGGGATATCATGGCTAAACATTATACTAAAATATAGTGGCATAAATACGAAGTAAGATTATGCATCTTTACATTTCTATAGAACGATACAATATGTTCCTTTCAATTATTACGCGTTTCATGTCACAAATATTTCAAACAAACGTCGAAATCTAGCAAACTAAATTGAACACCGCGTCGGGCCATTAGCCTACATCACTTCCGTATAAGACACCATGGATGTTTATACAACTGACGACATACGTGCAAATGCTATTTGACTTGATTCTCCATTCTTGCCGTGTTTAAAATTGATCGCTAAAGCCCCAAACCTTTTTTTCTGGATTGGATGCCGAACGCATTGCCCACATTTTCGACGAGCCCATTTCTCAGCAAGTGCAAATCCAATCGAGAGAACCGCAACACTGCGGTGTTCGCCCCTCTCTGCGGAACGAAGAAATATAGCCAGCATCGCGCTGGCAAATTGCCTCTTCGCGACACCGGGACCCGCCGAACAAAAGGACCGTTTCCCAACATTCACAACACGAAACAAAACGTGCCCGAGAGGCCCGGGGACACGGCAGCAATGACGCATCCTCTGTTGACTGGGCCCTCGAGCGTACGCGCTGCCAGTCTCAAGAGAGGCCATTTCGACGGCGCTGAGAGGGAAAGGACTTATAGCCGTCCCTGATGACGAAGATGAGCCTGGAGCGAAACGGGGAGCATAGCCGGGCAAGGATCTTTCACCGAACCAATGCCAAGTGGGGGACGAGGCGAAGGCGTTAGGCCAATCTTCGGCCTGGTCTGCGCTTCGTCCCTCTTGCTCGTTCTTTGTCTCTTTCTGGTTCTTTCCTTTGTAGCTTTACACTTTGCTTGTTTGCTCCAGTTGCACGAGCTATGATCAAAATTCTTGCTTCTATTGACATGACAGCTAGTTTGATTTTCTGGGAGACGTATGCGATGCTGATGTCCTCCTAGATGCGAAAAATGGCTGATTGTAAGAGCGTGGTGACGTGAGATGGGCGGGCACTCTGGGCGCGTTAGAAATTGGCGTCAAGCGCCGGGACTATATTTGTTTCTGTTTGTCATTTGTATCTCAGGATCCCGTTTTGGTATTGCGGTACTATAAGTCCGTGTTTTTTTTTTACTCGTAACCAGTTTGAACTTTTGAAGCACTTTTAACACAATAATTAATGTATGCGTACACTTGTCGGTTTCCGCATGCTTTATTTTAAGGAAAATGTCTCCTACTTACACTCCAAAAATGCATGCGCGTCTACTTACCCGCAAAACACTCAAGAGCCAATCTCTGCGATTTACGAAATCAGCTCAGCGAATAATGAGGCGGAAAATTTGTTTAGATCTCAAAATTAAGTCTGTGCTGTGGCATTACGCAATGCAAGCATGACACTATCCATTGCGTAATGCCACAGCGCAGACTACATTTTGGGTCTAACATGATGTTCCGCCTCATCATTCGCTGAGCTGATTTCGTAGATCACAGAGATTGGCTCTTGAGTGTTTTGCGGGTAAGTTAACGTGCAGGCAATTTTTAGAGTGTAGGGCCGGTCGCACCAACGTCGCTTACCTTAACCCAAAGCGGCTCTTTCCTAAGTCGGGTTAGCGACGACCTAAACCGAGCTCGGCTAAGCATGGGCTTAAATTTCGGTTGCACCAACATTAACTCGGGTATACAGATGCCCCCCTAGCTAAACGCTGGTTTTGCGTTGGATATGTAGGGACAAACAGAGCGAACTAGGGCACGCTCAGAGAGACGAGTACGACTGCCAGAGAGGAATCACGTGATATAAACAAACTTTTCGCCGTGGCAGTCGGCACCGGAGGCTGCATTTCTCTGTGTTTGTTTCGGTGCGTAACTAATTAAGCGGCTTCATTTTTAATCATTTTTACGCTGACCGTTCAAAAACAGGAGCCAAAGCTTGCATAAAACATCAAATTCCTTTAAATCTGAGATTCTGTGTTTAATATCGAATGAAAACATAATATTTTGAGGGTGATAGTAGTGTTCGTGATAATATTCTGATTCAGGAGCCATTGGGGGACCCAAATATCACCGAACGCGAGAAGGACGCTCTACTCGCTAAATCACTGAAGACAAAACATCATCGAGAATGAGTAGGCACGTAAGATGATTACGAAAATCAAGAATCATGCCTAAGACCGATGAAGTTCAAAATAGTGACTAGCTCGCCAGGGCAGCTGCGAAAATGCCCGGAAAAAGTCGAATAGAAGACGTCAAGAAATCAGATCGCTAGGTAGGGGTCCTTGCATAAACCGTACTTGTGAATCTCAGAGATGACAGAATTTCGCTGTACCATCGTTGAATATCTGCTGCAGCCTCAAACGGACTTCAGTTTCACACTGCCCAGTTCGAAGTAAGGTATCAGTGCAGCCTCGGCCATTTTTACTTCATGTGTCCCTCCACAGGCACGGATTACTTGTGAACTTTACATAGGACAAAGAACGCCAATATCCTGAAAACGGCACCCACGGTGAGCGGATTGAGCACGCGCGGGTTCCCCGAACCGATGATTCAAAGCCGAGTGGTTTGGTTAGTGCATAATCAAGAAAATGCACAAAGGTTACACTAAAGTTTTCCGCGTAACCTCTTTATGGCCTTAACTGCATTTATTGAAAATTCTTTTTCTGAAATATATCGTTTCTTTCT